GAGTATCCCCGTAAAAAATCTGATGCTGTATTCATGCCCAGTGCCTGCCCTGGGCTACGAGAAAAAAAAAAAAAAAACAACAGAAAACCCAAGACCTCCCCCCCTCCAATTCTAAATGAGCAAAGTTGGTAGGTAAAAAAGTCACATGGAGAGGAATGCAAAGGTATTTTGGTCCTATGGGTAGCCCGGAAAATCAGAGCTGCTACTGTTCCTGCAAATAGTGGTATCTGTCACCATAGCCCTTATTAACAGTGGTACCCACGCAAATAAACCCAGGACAGTGACAAGTGTACACCCAGAAGAAATTTAATGGGCTTGTTATGTTTGTCTTTAATGTTTCCCACCAATTTTTTAAATTATATATTTTTATACATATACTGTGGGGAGAGAGGGCAGAGAGATACCTGTATTAGCCAGTCTAGAGGCAGCAAGTTTCTCAAGGAGAGTGTCTCCAACATGGCTCTCATCTTTATAATGTCTTGACATTTGCTGTAGTGGTTCTTTTTCCCACACCCAGTTCTCAAACATTTGTGAAGGTACCTCTACAAAGTCTGTTTCCACATTAGTTCCACTAAACCTAGCAAAATCAGTCTAAAAGGAAAAGCCGTTGTATTAAATGAAAATAGAAGCCAGGATTTCCAGCAGAATATAAACTTTCAGATGCCAAAATTTCAGTGTTAATCACAGCAAAAGGAATCATTTGAACAGTCAATAATAGTAATTAAAAAATGAATTTTAATGAAAGGAGGGCAAAAATTCAGATATAAGACAATTAGCAAGCAACAAAATTGATTACTCTGTAGTTATTTACTGCATTCTCTACTGGTGTGAAACAGTACTTCAGTTTTCTTAATATTATTGATTTTTACCTTTTAAGTTATGACAGCAATACAAATGTTTCCGTGCTGTCTTATGACAATGATATAATTTGTAAATTGTTATAAAATTTTGTTATAGTACCCCAAAGTAAAATAATAAACTCCAATTATACGCTTACAAAATAGTTTATTGTATTACAGTCTACCACACTGATTTAAAGATTTTATTTGATCAACTTATCCTATTAAGCTTTGTCCTAACTGTCTTCATCCATAAGGCATATGGTTAACATAGCACAATTTTTTGAGCCAGTAATACATGGCCTGAAATAAATGAATCCTCGCAACTTTATCCATGAAAGGTCTCCAAATCTGACACTCAATAACTGATAAAAGAATCTTCCTTCTGAAAGCCAAGCACATTAGAGCTTTTTAGTTTCTACTTTAGTATTGTCAGTCACTTCATGTTTAAAAAGCCACCCCCAGATACTAATTTTGAAGTAAAGTTTTGTGCAGTTAAAAATCTTCATTAAAATATATTCCAAACCCAAAATATTTATAAAAAAGAAACAGTCACTTTTGAAAGAGAGTTGTTCAAATGCCAACAGAAATCATTTGGTCTCATTCCACACTTGTCCTATAATAAGTCTACCTCCTCTTGCCAACCCAATTTTATTGTTCTTCCCTTCTCAGTAACATTCTACAAAACATTTCAAGTGCTAAAAGAAAAAAGAATTCTCAGTTTCCCAAATGCCCTCTCTAAGAGCTGTAGCTATTCTTAGGTTCCATCCTCCATCAGGCAATAGATGCCCAGAGGAGTACTGGCTTTTGAACTTACTTTCTTGCAAAGTTACCAAAAAAAATCATGTATAATATAGGACATAACATTGAACTGACAGCTATGTCACATGTATATATCTTCCTCTCATGTCTTCAGAAGAACAGCAGAAAAGGAGAAAAACATTTGCCTTCATTTACACTTGTGGGTTACTCAAATCCATAGCTGTAACAGGCTGGCCCTTCTTACTGTAGTTAGCAGCTGAACAGCAGCTATGAAGAAAAGCTAGGAAGCATCGTCTGGGAAGAAATGGTGACAGAAGTGGCTACACCAAAAGGCAAAAAAAGTGCAGGAGTTTGTTGGCCTCCAGATATCCTCATTTACCCACACACAAGTGCAACATGCTATCAAAAAATATTAAGACATTTGGTTCAAGCAATAGCTTTTCTTCCCTAACAGCATAAAGAGATGCCCTCCCTGCCCTGATATCTCACTTTCCAGCAGACCCGCAGTACACTGCAAGGAGTATCAGTCTCCAAAGGCTGACCTTTACCAGCAGCTCAGATTCCCACCCAGTCCAATCCCCGCATACCCTTTAAATGTCAAGTTTTAACATGCTTAAACAAATCATCATATGAAACAAGATAGTGCTTTGCACACACAAATCCCAGAGAACAGGATGTTCTTATGTGGGACTAGGAAGTTATTTGCAGGTGTGCAAATAACCATTTACATAAAATACAACAGCAGTAAGCACAGTAGCTATGCACACAGAAACCACCTCAGCAGTGGGAGAAACAACTGGAAAGCAGGCCTCCCTGACCTGTGTGCAGTTCCACAGCAAGCGAAGTACACATGCATTGGAATTGCTGGCTTGGGGTGCCCAGAAAGGACTCTGCAACACCCAGGTACATTCTCATTGGTTATCAAAATGTTGCAGTCAGTTTTGTACCAATGCTGGATGTGTCTCATTTATAAACACCTTCTAGGTAGTTTAAGAGAAAGAACAGGTTTTATTTCTCAATTTTTGAGCTCAGAAACACCTGTCTTAAGGTGAAGATGATCAAATAATCATTATATTTTTACCTTCAACATGATGCAAAAATAAGTAAGCAAGTCTAGCTACTTGTTCTGAATGTCATTTGTTTAATTCTGGATTTAATATATGGATTTCTATGACTTTGTTTCTTTATTCTGCAGTCCTAGTCTCTGGGATCAAGGTCAAGAATTAAAATCTAATGTGTGCCATATTTGTCTGATTTTATTATTTGGTACGTGTTTATAAAGAAGATGAAAGCAGTGCTACACAAAGTCTTGATTCGTAGATAATTATGTGAATTTTTTGGTGAATGAACACTGAGACTTGTCTCTCTCTGAAACATAAAATTTTTGTTAGGCCAATAATAAATTCATCATCTGGCAGAATCAATTTTACATGTAAGTAAAAATGAAACCAGCAATTTTACAACTTTATTGACATCTTGATGCAAAATCTGCGGACTAGCTTCAGTTCTTTCTGGTCACTGTGAGAACCCTGACTGTCAGATAGGAGAGCAGAAAATACAATAGCTGAGGCAAGACCTGTTTTATGCTTTTGATGTCAAGAGTGATGGCTCTCAAGAGTACTAAATACCAAAATGCTGGAGGTGATCTGGATTCACAAATCATTTGCATTCCTAGATGCAGCAACCTTTTTTTGCTTCTAATACCTAGCATGCTACTAGAAGTAATAAAAAGCCCTCTGACAGCTGTAACAGAAGCCACCACTGAGCACCTTCTTTACCTTACACATGGATCTGTTCACTCATCACAAATACCTGCATGGTGCAAATGCGAAAGTATATGTTCCTATGAAAATGTTTTTCATAAGAAGGTGTATTCATTCCCGTAGTTTTAAGTAACAATTAAAAACAAAAAAAAAAAACCAACCCAACCTGCTACTTTGAAAAATAACCAAAAAGCTGCATATGTACTTTTCTAAAATTAGAAACTACCAAAGTAGACTTATACCTTGCTTTGAGACAGTGGAGAAAGAAATGTCTTACACTGGAATTGAAACATCACTAACCTGTGCACATATCTGATGCATTACATGACCAAATTCATGGAAGTAAGTCTTCACTTCATCATGTCGCAGCAATGATGGACGATCTGACGCTGGTTTTGTGAAGTTGGTTACCAGAGCAGCTACAGACATCATTCTGCTGCCATCAGAGAGAAGACAGCCGGGCTGGAGACCAAAGCATGCTGCATGCCCATATTTTCCCTCTCTGTACAAGAAAATATATCAGACACTATCTTCAAACCATAAGCCTGCTCACCAGAGTGGCGAAGCCTATTCAATAACAGGGACACTCAGTCAGTGTTTCTTTAAAGCTTTACACAAAGAAATTACATCTCTGCGTGACTTCTAAGACTCACTAAGTTTAAGATCCTGTTAAAAGCACAAGGGGATAAAACCCCAGTACTTAAATTGCATTAGTTTAAGCTGCACAGCAGCATTTGCAAGAATCTGATTTTTACTCAAATATTGAAAGTATATATACTTTAGATGTCAATTCTATTTTAAACTGCTACTGTAACAGGAAGAACTAGGTTCTGTCCTCTGAAGCAGTATTTTTTCTTTCATTACAGGAGACAAAAGAATACAGTTTACTGCATTTTCAGTGTGATCCAGAAGTTTAAAGAAAAATGATTTTGAAATTTTTGCCCTAAACCTGAGTAGTTAACTGCGTAGTTAAGTCGGAAGAGTCTTACTAACAAACAGGTTCAGCAATTCACATTATATGCAGAAAGTGGGAAGCAGGCAAACAGGTGAAGGACGTAACGTGCCTATTTTAAAAAGAACAATTTATGTACTATTGTATTGACTAACCTAATTTTCTTAACTCAGAGAAGCCTTCCATCAATTTATATTAAAAAAGGATATAATCCAAATTATAAATTGCTAAAGAATAATTTAAAAAACCCAAACAAACAGTGAGAAACAGTCAAAAAGGACTAGCTAAGAACAAATCCTGTCAAATCAGTCTAGTCTCCTAATCTTTGACAGAACACAGATGATGCTGTCAATAGCTACAAAGAGAGCTGGAGAGCTACAAAGATCAACCTGTAAGTACATTTCAAGGTGTGCTCAACAGGAATCTATTCTTGGTCCTGATCTATTTGATATTTTCTTTAGCAGTCTGGACAACGGGGTACAAAATACACATATAAAGTGTAAAGAGGAACTGGAAGAAACTAGGAACACTTGGCAGATAGGAATATAATTGATCTGAACAGACTGCAGTAACAGTTCAACATAAATGAAAAGTAACATGGTATTACAGTTAGGAAGAAGAAAAGTTAATCGGGGCAAAAAATTATGGATAACTGACTAGACAGCAATATTACAGATAATGAACAAAGTAGTAATGCTTCATAAACTGAATATAAGCACGAAACACGGTAGTATTGCAAAAAAAGAAAAAGCGTAAACAATCTGAAAACAGTCCAGAGGACAACTTAATCAACACAGTAATAGTCTTGTCAGTGGGACAAATATTTACTTCCAAACACATTTAATTTCAACAACACCAGCAACCCACTAAGACCAATTCCATTTTAAACACATAAGTAAAACACTAAGTCGTAATTACCTGGGGTAAAGGTCCAAATAGAACTGCCCTAACATTTCTCCTGTTGAATTATCCTTTACTGTATAAAGAGTAACACTGTCGTGCCAAACATGAGCACTTTCTACTTGCTCAAATACAAGTCCCAGCAGCTTCTGGTAAATATTCAGTAAGCCTTCCGTAAATGCCTCAATTGGGAAGTATTCCTTCAGCTTTTCTTGATCTATGGAGTACTTCAGCTCTTCTGTTTTGTTCATATAATAATGAAGATCCCACGCATTGATTCTTCCATCATAATCAAAGTTTCTTTCTTTACACTCCTTTTTCTTCAAATCTAGAATGAATTCTCTTTCTTCCTCGACCAATGGCTTTAGCTTCTTACTCAAATCATCTGAAACAAAGATTGCCTTGGAATCAACTCCTGTGTTCCTTACTATAATGTGTATTCCTATAAAATACACTCATAACTTTAAGCACATGCCCCAAGAGTGGATGCTAGAGTTTTCCATTTGTTGACTAACAGCAAGCAAACTGTCTGCTTTCTTGTCTTAATGAGTTTTAATTGCAGGCATGCTATAAATAATACAGGAGTCCACAGAAGCCTAACAGTACTGTGGAAGGTTTTGGTAAATTTAGACTTTTTCAAAGACATCAGAAATGGAAAGTAACACTAGACACTTTCGCTTGAAGCCTTTGATTTTACCTCATGTAATCTCAGTTCTCTTGATGTGTTTCTTCAGAAACAGCTAAAGACTACAACTACTATTAGTTACTGGAAGTGCAACACAAAATTCGAACACTACTTTTTCTTCCAAGACTTTTCAAAACAGATTATGATGTACTTCTAGCTAAAGCCCTATAAAAGAAGAAGAGGCTAAAGAATTCTTGCCTATATGATGGCTAGCTTCTAGACTACCAAAGCCACTGGATATTAACCTCTGATTCCCATTTTTTCCAGTATAGCTTTTCTTGGACAAGAAAGGGTCATAGCACTACGAATCCAATATATTGAATAGAAAATATTTAAGCTTACTGAAACTCCCATAAAGTACATACTGTACTTATTCTCTTGTAAGTACTTCTGGACTACCAGCCACTTTTTTTCCTCCTTAAGAATTCAGGTTAGTGTTCACTATTGGTATCTAGAGTGTGAAATTTAGGAATTGCCATTCTTGTTTCTAGGTAGGCTGTAAGGCACTACATGCATTTACATGACTGAAGTACTGTTTGCAGCTTGTATTATTCTAAATTCAGAATATGTCATAGGACAGAATGCTTTTCTTCCTAGCCATAAGACCAGCTTATGAACATGGATATAAAACATGAATATATATGAACAAAGCAGAGCAAATTATACTGTCATGCTTGTAGCCAAGGATATTTCAAAAGAACTAAATTAAAGCTGACAATTAATTTGATGAACATTCTCCCTCTACAAGGATTACCATGAAACATGGTATTTACGAATAGAAAAGTATATGATCTCATACTGTGAAAAGTTAAAGTAACAACAATAACTGCTAAATTGTAAGGTGTGTCAGCTTAAAAAAAAAAACCAACAGTATTATATAAGCCCATTTAGAATTACAAAAATATAGTGGATAGAAAAGAGTTCAAACTACTTTAGGTACACTTGAAAAAAAATCAGGTAATTCTAACATTTAATTATAAATCAGAATTAAGTGTAAGTTCATTGACAAATATATGGATAATTGGTATTGCCAAATATGGAGCTAAGCTCACACTGTAACAGGAGAAATGTGACAGAATTACAGGTGAAGGAAGAGGCGCATTTGAACCTCTTTATTGATGCAAAAGCACAAAAACCCCACTACCACCAAACAGACTTCACTGCTGTACTAAATTATTTTGGGGTGTTTATTTATACGATATATCAATATACAATCCTAAGTAGTGTTAGGACACTATATTAATAAAGAAGTGCATAATATTCTGTGGAACTACATAATTCCAGAAAGTAGAGGTTAACTCTATGCACAGCACAAGAGCAGGCCCACTGAGGTCAACAGGATGACTACAAATTCATAAACTGCTTGGTTTAAAATTTTCAATATATCTCTGTTTTCAGATCGAATTCCATTAGAGGGCTTTTGAATTCCAGATTTAATTATCATTCCAGATTTAATTTTTTAATTCAGCTCATAGAAGTTGCATCATCACATACTGTAATCTTTCATTATACATAATGCAGTTGTATCAGAAAAAGACACTAAGGCTACAGATGCACAAAAAATTCCAGCTAACCTAAGGGAATGAAAAGCTGCAACTGTGACGCAGCCTCTTGAACTGATAAAATTGCTTAGGCTGCACATGTTATTCTGGTTCTAAATTAGGATAACTGCATTTTGGGGCAGAAAAAGACAACCGCTTGCCTATATTGGCTGTCACAAAGCAGTTATTTTCAGATTTTTGTCTTGTGCTTCCCTGTTTTGGAGCAATTGCATTTGTACAGCTATGGTTTAAAAAAAATATATGCCAGAACAGAAGCAACATAGCGTTCCTTTTCTATCTAGACATGATGGACACTGTGACCCAATTATGTATTTAAATTTAACTTGGCTGAGGAGTCATGTTGCCACACCAAATATAAAATTATTGTTTATAAATAAGAACAAACCTAAGAAGGCTGTTACATTATCTGTGCTCTTTGCAGTGTTTACCTCCAGGACAAAGTTGGCATGTGTATTATAACCCAGAAGCTCTGCCACTTTTGCCCTTAGTGGAAGCAATTGCTGAAGAATTTTTGTGTTCTCCTAAAAAAGAAAGGAGGCAAATTTGTAAAGTGAAACCAGAAAACGCATGTTATCGAAACAATTATCTGAATAATATCTGTAATCATAAGAAACAGCAAACATCTAAAATGAAACACTTTAAGATATAAATATAGAATAATGTAAGTTTAGCTAGATTCTTGTAATTTTTTTGTCACAGCATGTGATTGCAGGTAGCTAGTTTTCTAGTCAATCTGAGTCATTACTCTCCCTATTATAATTTATCTGTTTTAATTAATCAAAAGATATACCATTTCCTTTTAGGATAATAACAAATCTTTGGCTGTTGCAAAGAGTTTGTTTCCTCTATCAATCATTGAAATATGAAAGATAGCAGGGAAATGGCTGACAGCAGGCTTAATTGCTTGTTAGTGGTGAAGACAGACTGCAAAGTTATTGTGCCAACATTCAAAGCTTGTTTGCAAATTTTCCTCTTTTGCCACTCTGACAATAGCAGTCAGAGAAAGAGATCTGAAACACAAAAACCCCAGGCCCTGACCTAAATGTGGTGGAGGATCCTTGAGAAGCTGAAAAATGTAACTGTGTTAACTTCCAGTTCTGGAAAAGTGAGATTTCTCAGGGAAAAACGTTTGTTTCTAGCAGTAGGTTCGAAGACTGTCCCACAGTTGTAACAGCAAACCCCTTTAAGTGTGCTGACTTGCAGAGTGTTCAGTTCTTGGTGCCATTTTATCTTATCTTGTACTCTTCACATTTCCCAGCACTTCAAGTGCAAAAGCTAAACTCTGCCATTGTTCTCTAATGAATGGTTGGTACAATTGCCTGAATAACACTTCTGCTATGCTTTCTATCCTTTTCATTATTTTTGTACCTGTCTAGGTGCCTGGTCTCATCAGTAGCAAACAAATTATTTGTGAAATTATTCTTTTTATAAGGCATGTTTCCAGCTATTTTTCAGATAATTAAATGAATCTTTTATAAAAATTAGGGTTTTTTTAACATCTAATTAAAATTCTCATCAATACGCAAAGCATTAATTTCACACCTAATTACGTGTATTTCGTAATTAAAACACGTGCTTAAATAACCCCTCTCATTCTGAAGAATCCCAAAGTACTACAGAAGCTGCAATCAGACATCCTTCTCTGGGAGGAAAGGTGCCAGTAAGCAGCTGCAGAACACTGTAGAGAAATTGGGCAAAAGATCAAAATCCTCCTTCTATTTACAGCACCACTGAAACTTTAAGATACGTACACACACAGAGGCAGATCATCAACTTCTAAGGTCTTCAGACATCAGAATAAACTGGAGCAAGGAACTGTTAAATATCACACTGATAAGTTTTGATTTCATAGTACTAGACAATATATAGAACTGAAATCTAACATCTGAATGTCTAGCTCCATTTTTCAACTCTGTCATCACCCTGTAGAACAGTCCATATATGACATACCTCTTTGCATCTCGAGTTAAAGGCAGATTCCATTTTTCTCCTGGTTTCTGAAATGCAGCACTTCTTCATGACAGGAAAATAGTGGGGATACTTTAAAGTAATTTTATATTTGTCTTCCTCAGTCTTCTCTAAACTCTTAATAAAGTCATCAGGAAGGCCTTCTATATAACACAATTTAATAAACAATGTTTACCAGAATTACCTACTCCCCTCTCGTCTTGTGAGATTGTTGCATTTATTTTGCTGCAATCTAATTTGACATCAGAAATCTCCACAGAAATACAACCCCTCTTTTTACAACTGTTTGCTAAAACTTTTTCAAATCACAACCAAGCAAAATAAAAATTGGAAACACTTGTGAGCAGAAGAGAAATATATGTAAGGCTACCAGATAAAAACTGACATTAAAAAATCTCTGGTGTTATTAAAGCACACTTTATACCATGCCCTCCAGATAATGAATCCCCAAATTCTCTGTCACATGAAATCTCTAGATCAGTTTAAACGATTGAAGTAGCTAAAATATATTGCAGGACATAAAGTTTTTCCAATAATTGCAATGAATATAATACACAGGGGATTGCCTGATGGTGGAGAACTGAGAAACGAAACAGAGAAGAGTAAAGTTATAAAAAAAAAAAAGTAGGACAGATATGCTAACTTGATGCAAGGCAAACACTTCAGGAAGCACAAATCTATGAAGAGATCATAAACACCTGCAAAGGGTAATTCTAAACTGACTTTGGGGAAGGATTAAAAAGGAAACAGAGAAGATTGGAAAACAGTCAGAATTTTACTTGATCTATCATTCACTGGGCCAAAAACAATTACTTCAGTAAAACTGGAAGGTTGAAAAAATGGAAAAAGCAAGCATACTACTCACCAAGTTCTTCCTTAGAAAACACAAGAAATGTGTTTTCCTCATTCAGGTTTTTGTTAAAGTCTATACACAGCTCACTCAATTTTTTCTTCATTGTCTTCATTTCCTGTATTGGGTATAAACTGAACTTAGTGGAAAAACAAAAATCAAACTTGGCAATTACTATCCTCCATAAGTAGTACTTCACCACTTTTTCCAGATAGGCTCTCTACTACCCAACAGTCAATACCAGCACTGAGAAAGTAACACAATGCAGGTAACATCATACTTCACTCTCCCACAGCCTCTCTTTTATCCTTCTTTTGGTCCTGAGCAATATTGTTGCCAATGAACCCTGGATTGGGGCTACTGCTCCGACAAAATTTCAAATGTTCAAATTCTCAACTCAGAAGGGACCGAACACATTAACATGTTCTCTGAACAGCATTATCTGCTAACATTCAATTTTTTTTTTTTATTTGAAAAGCCTAAATTACAATTTTAAGTGTAAAAACATCCACTAAAATCAATGAGAATCAAGGGAGTAAAAATGCATGCAACCTATTGAAAAACACTCCTTTGGAATTGTACAGGTATGACAAAAAGAAGAGAATACCCACACAAGACAAGACCATTCCAAAACCTTTTTTAAACTCCTGATATTCACCCACCTGAAACACTTTCTAATATATCTCATACCATGTCTCTACCCCTTACTGTCAAGCTCACATAAACATGGTGGTTACCAGTAGAAGAATACACACCAAATACAAAACTTGGCAGAGACTATCATTAGTTAAGTTTTTACTTTAGTGTAGTTCAACTATTGTCTCCTTATAAAGTATTTCAGAATTCCTTTAGAGGCATCAGTTGCCCTTAAGCAATGCAAATACACATGAAACTGTTCCCACTAACTGAAGGATGTGGATGAAGAATGATTATTTTCTCCAAAAAGTAAAGTCTATTCAAGAGTCATAAATCGAGATTGTTATACAACATCACTCAGAATTTAAAGACAATTATGTCAGCATCTCAGATGATGACAATTTTACTTCATGATTTTCAGAACTGATACGTGCTTTTATATGCTTGAGTAAATCCTCCCTTAATGGAGCCAAAATTCTCACCGCAGCTTGTGTTCCCTTTAAGCTACCTCAAGTTTTTTTAGTCAAAATGCTAAGATCTTGGACACATTTTACAACATTGGTTAATAAATGAAATTAAAATAGCTGTGTCTTTGTAACAATTATACATACTTCTGAAGCCTGGACTCACAAATAACATTTTTGAGAGGTCTCTTGGCTAGGAATCTATCTAATTTAGGCATTCTCTAAAATCAGAATATATAATAAAACTCTTCCAGATAGGCTTCTTTTACTCTGGAAGGCTAAGAGAGGTGATGCATACCATCTCTATCCACTGAGTACCGTGGTTGTCTAACAGATTAATTTAAAAACCTTAAGGTGACTGAAGTCTAAAGGATAGATCTGGAACTAAGAACAGTTAAGATCAGAGCAGAAATTAAGCAGGTCCAAAAGCACAAAGTTCAAATATATTCTTAGTATAGCTATACAACCATAATTTCATCCTTTCAACAGTTTGTCACCTTTGCTTTATAAACTAATAGTCCATATTTACATTCTGCACTTCTTTAGGAAGATGGAGTCCATTTCTTTTTCCCACTTGAACTGATTTCTCTAGATATCGCTTTGTTTCAGGCTTTACATTTTCAAGATCGCAGGTTTGCTGAAATGACAGTATGGAATAATTGAGTTTACGACATGGTGCAAGAAACATACCAAGCATTAGAAAGGTCTGAACAGAACTGTTCTTTAGAACGCCACCACAGTAAAAAAGGAACATCCCGGATTTTAGGGTGAAGGACTTTCCGAAAACAGTTACCTTATGCAATAGTATTCTTACATTGATGTAGCATGGTTTTAAACATGATTTTCTTTTACCAAGTATCTCAGCACATTTACATGCTGTCATAAGGGCAAGCCCTTTTAGTTTATAGTACAGTGCACTTAAGCTTTTTCTGTAAGAGATACCTTTCTTATACATACTTGAAGAAAATCAGTGCTATAAGGTAAACCTGTACCTTAAAACTTAGAGGGATTAAAAAAAACCCAAAAAGATTAGATGTGTCTCTGAAGGTTATCAGATGGCATAAAATTTGAGCGTATACATCTTCTCTTTCAGAACAAATCAATCAGTGACAACAAATAAAACAGTACTTCTATGTCTGGTTATGCCATTACGAAGATTCTTGAATGGTCACTTCCTAAAGCAACCAGCATTGAGACAAGATGCTGGTCGTAACAGACCATGGATCAGTCCTTTGAGGGTCTTCCTTCAAACTGACTACATCATAACTGTTTAATTCAGAAACTTGCCATTTTGTCCTAAGTTGAAAATTATGCTGTACACATTCTAATTTTATCTTCCCTCATCTAAAAGCAAACATTTGAAAAAAGGTATTAACTTACAGGCGTTGTTAAAAAGGACATATGATATTAAAGTTACCCTTCAATCATGAACTTGT